GTGCATGCTGGGGTGCCAGTCTTCCTAGTGCATGCTGGGGTGCTGGCTCTTCCTAGTGCATGCTGGGGTACCTGCTCTTCCTACTGCATGCTGGGGTACCCGCTCTTCCTAGTGCATGCTGGGGTGCTGCTCCATCCTGGCCATCTCCTTGGCTGCTTTTCATCTCCTTCCCTGGTCTCTTCCTCAGTTTCTTGTACTCACAATGTGTGTATGACTTCGGCCATGTGGGAAAACAAACATCCAGTCAGAAGGATCTGCCACTAGGCAGGTGCTTTGTAACCCAGATGCCCAGCAGTCCCTGAAGGAGGGATATCAACGTGTGCAGGCAGTGCTCACAGCACAGCATCCTCCACTAGGGCCGCATTCCTCCTCTATAGCTGTGTCGTTTACACGTGATGCACACACGTGTGAGGTGAGGCTCTTTAATGTACCCATCAGCAAATCTACCCGCAAGGACTTGGGCCAGCTGCTTCACGGGACTCTTTTGAAGAAGAACATATTAGAAAAAAAAATAACCATGCCATAATGTCTATATTCTCTTTAAATGGACTCTGCTTCATCACTCAAACGTGCCAAAAAAGAAACAAACCCTGTTTTCCATGTCTGAGTAATTTGGCTGAGGCAGAGTCTGTGGACACCTGCTAGAGGCTGAGTGTAAGGAAGGGTGAGTGTGGAGGAGAGGAGTATGAGGGAAGAGTGTGAGGAAGAGTGTGAGGGATGAGGGTGATGGGGAGTGTGAGGGAAGAGTGTGAGGATGAGTGTGATGAGGAGTGTGAGGGAAGAGTGTGAGGATGAGTGTGATGAAGAGTGTGAGGGAAGAGTGTGAGGATGAGTGGTAGGGAGGAGTGTGAGGTGGAGCGTGAGGTAGGAGTGTGAAGAGGAGTGTGAGGTGAAGTGTGAGGAGGTTTGTGAGGATGGATGTAAGGGGAAGGAGCATGAGGATGAGGATGAGGAGAGTGAAGGATGAGGGTAAGGGATGAGTGTGAGTGAATGAGAAGGCAGGTCTCTCGGTCTCTGGGATTCCAGCTGAAGCGAAGACCTTCCCTTGCTCAGCACAGACACCCAGGCTTCCTTCAAAATCAAATCTTTTGGTCTTGCTGGGATATAGTCAGGAAGCCCCTAAAATTTCCACCCTTGCCTTCCTGATGTGGCTGATGCCGCCACCCTGGCTCTCCAGAGACGGGGGTCCTCTTGCTCTTATTCTTGTGAATACTTTGTGCTTTTATCAAAGTGACCATGGAGCTCCCTGGTGGATGTCCCAGGCTTGTGACTCCCTCCCTGCGTCTGCCCTGGGGAAAGGTAGTGGGCTACTCCACCCCTGAAGTGGCAGCCACCCTGCCTGTGGGAAACCAGACCTGTTGGTTCCCTGCCCAGCTCAGGAAGGACTCGCCTCTCTCACAGGCTTCCTCATGGTGCTGTGCTCTCTACCTGTTTAGCTCTGTCCATCAGTTCTGGGGTTCCTACCCCTTAGCAGCTCCAGGCTGCACACTGATCTATGCAGGTTTTGTAGGACTTAGAGCTCAGGAGGTCACCTCTCATAAAGACAGTTGCCCCTCTTGTATCCGTGAGCTCTGCCTCTGTGGATTCAATTCAATGAGTTCAATTCAAGTCAGATTGAAAACATTTGATTTTTCTCTTGTATTCCATAGAGTAAATGGCTTTTGTTTTCTAAAAAACCACAAATATGACATGCTTAAGGTTTATGAACACATTGATATGATTTTGTAGTTAAGGCAGAAATCTGTGGTGCCCTAATACGAACCATTCCTGTGCAAAGAATGTCTGTGGCTCGTGTGGTGTGTGAACGCATGGACAATTGCAGCTGTGATATGTGTGATGTTATTGTCTGTGAGCACTGCAATCTCACCCGCAGATGAATCTCGGATTATTACCGCTTGTCTTCTTAGGTTTTTTTTTCCTTATGATTTATTTTGGTACATAATTAAATATTGTTTTACACACACACACACACACACACACACACACACACACACACACACACACACACACACAGAGACGTACTTAAAAAGAAACCTGCCTCTGTTCTGAGCACACAGTTACTTTCCTATGCCGTTGCTTCCTAAAGACACAGGATGGCAATTGTGCTCAGTGCTTACATCATAACAGGTGTGTCAGTAACTTACAGAGAGTTGTTGGTATAATGTGCAGAGGCTACATGCAAGACTGTGGCATTTCAGGTGTCCACTTGAGTGCCCCCGTGTTTAGGCAGCTGCAGGTTCTGGAAAGGCTGTGAACCTGGCCCCTGTGGATCCTGAGGGATGACTTCTTAGTGCCTCTCATCAGCATCCACTAGATCTGGGAGAACAAAGTCCACCAGTCTACACCAGACACGCTACCCAGGTTCCTGAATGCCCCTCTTCCGATACCTGCTGACAAATGACAGGTCAAGGATGTTGGATGCGGCTCTGGCCACATTCCTGTTTACAGGGCAGGCAGCTCCGCCCCTTGGCTTTGAGGCCTTAGTGAAGCTCAAGGCAACATCAAGAAGCCACAGTTTGGACTTACCCACATGCTTTGCAAGTAAAGGAGTCCTGGCACACACACTTCCTGCTGCTCACTCAGTCCTGAGGGTCTGTTTTGTATGGAAGCTTGCTTTTCTCTTGGAAGGCCCTATAAAGGCCAGGTTTATTAGTGGTACATCCCAATCCCCTGCCATCCATTTGGCATCCCCCAGGAATTCCCCTCTGCCCACACAGAGGCCTGAACATTCTCTTGGCCTGCTCCTAGCAACCGATGCCCATGAGTTTGTGGAAAAGCAAGTCGATACAGGAATGGATGTACTGTCTTCTCCAAAGGTGCTCAGGCTGGTGATTTTCCACGTGGAAGTTCACGATCGATTTTCACTCTGACCAGAAATAAAAGCATTCCCCACCTCTACAGAAAAGTGCGTGTCTGTCTCCATTGACACACAGAACGAGAGGTGAGCTCTCTTCTTCGGTGAGCCCAGAGCGAGAGCTTTGGAGAGAGAGGAAGTGAAACACCCCCCGTTTGGAAACAGGAACACAGGAGTGTTTGTGGGTAGATGTGTTTGGGAGCACCCTTGCCTGTAGAGGCCAGATAACCACCACAAGTGTCGTTTCTCAGGTGTGCTCTTATGAGACAGGGTCTCTCATTGGCCTGAAACTCATCAAGCAGGCTGGGCTGGGTGGCTAGGGAGCCACAGGCGCCTGCCAGTCTCTCTGTCTCCCCAGTGCTGGGGTTACTAACACTCACTATCATGCCCGACTTTTTTAAAATGTGGGTTCTGGGGATCAGACTCAGAACTTCATTCTTGCAAGGCAAGTGCCTTCCCAACTGAGCCATCAGCCCCCAGGAGCAGGCTTCATGACATAAGAAGTCTGCAGTGGGTTGATCCAAAGCCAATGCATTGGCTAAGTGGCCAATACTAAGCCAGAGTCCCAGAAGGCCCTAGATGGTCTTCTCTGCAGCCACAAGCCCCTCCTTTCCGGTTAAGCACCCCCTAACTTTGTGTCAGCCACCCCCATTCAGTCTTATGTACCTTCCCACTCTGTTCTTACTCCTATGGCCCATCTGTTTACAGCATGGCCATTCCCAAGACCACATGAGGCTGAGTCATGACGGCACATGGCAGGAACCCCATCCTTTACATGGCTAGATGGAAAGGTCTGATTGGATTCAGGTCCAGTTCCCCCAGCAATGTTACCCATGCCACTGTACACGCATGAAGTGGTTTGTCACCTTTTGTAATGACAACTTTTATTAAATGTGCTCTTTGACAGCTTCACACATGCGTATAGGGTGTCCTGGCTGCTCTCACCTCACCCTCGCTTATCTATTTATTATTATTATTATTATTATTATTTATTATTATTATTATTATTATCTATTATCAAATATCTTATCTATTTACCTCTCCTGTTTCTCACATTCATGTTTTCTTTTTGCTTTGCTTTGTGAGCCATTCAGTTAAGTATTGGCCTGTGTGATCACCTGTGTGATCGACTGCAACTCTGGGCATGCAACTGAAGACATGATGATCCCCCTTCCCAGTATCCATCAGTAGCTGGTGGCTAACGCCTTCATCTGAAGGTTCCTCTGGAATTGGAAAGTTATTTCTAATTAATTTACTAGTTAGGATCTTTGGAGAGTGACTCTTCTCCTCATCAAATATTCTGGCACTTGCCATGGCGTGTTGAGGCTGAACAAAGAAAAAACGTGCCCTACCAATCCAGAACGGTGGACTCATTTCTCACAGGTGCCCCCTCCAGCCACTGATGCTTAGGCTACGGTAAAGATCTTGCCAAATTGCCAAGGTCAATATATACATCAGCTGTCTGAAGGCAGGGCTACCAAGAACAGAAATGGTGTCTGGGCTGCTTTCTCTGTAAACACGAACTTGACATTTCCAGGGACCTGCCCAGCCAGCTGTGTGGAGTAGCATTACACTGGCCCAAGGCTGGCTGGGCCACTAAAGGAAGGTGGTCTTTCTGGGCCTGCTTATAGCAAGGAGACACTGCACAGGCCTCCGCCTGGGAGAGCAGCTCACCCAGGCCCAACCTAGCACATTCATGCCATCGCCCTCCATTTGGGCACTGGGGGATCTGGAGGTGGTTAGATTCTAGGCACCCTCTAGGTTGCAGCTGCTGCTGTGTTGGCAGCAATAGAAGCCACCCTCCAACTTGAAGGACACCTTTAGGACCTTCAAGAAGCGCAGGGCTGAGAATGTCCTCAGGTTGATGGCTTCCTTCTGTGTCTCCATGGGGTAGGAAGAGGGGAGGGGACATTACTATAGCCCCAGTGACCCCTGTCTGGCTGTCCCTATGGTGTCTGCTTCCTAAGGCAGACACTGAGGACCAACATTGCCTCCCCCATGCTTGACGTGTGGCTCTGTGCATGGCACAGAGACGGTGGCACACGGCTCAGCTTCCACCTCCGGCTCAGCAAGTCATTGGTAGCTCTTCCCGCCCGGCCGGTTTTGGGCTTCATGAGTTCCGTGCTTCCCCGACGCCGTGTGTGACATGGGACTTCCAGAGAACACCGAGACTGTGACCCAAAGAGCCACTTGTGTGGCAACAGTCACCTCCACATCCTTTTGTTAATGACTCTGAGTGAAGAGGCCAGATCTTGGGGCTCTCAGCAGCCAAGATTCCTAGGGGTAGCTCATGTTTAACAAATTCAGAGAGAGAGAGAAGAGCTGTACCCCTCGATCCAGGTGTCGGCCTGCATCTTCCAGCACCTGCTGGATCCACAACGTGGACACACTGACTTCCACACCTGCAGGCTGACATTTAGCTTGCTCGCCCGTCCTTTCTTCCAGTTGGGAGAAGGCGACATCTCCCTGTACATGAAGCATCCTGGCCACCAGCCTTCTAGTAGAAGTGATGTCCTCTGTACCAATGCAGCTCCAGTGGGTTCCTGTGCCACCTGCTGAGTAGGGAACAAAGAGGCAGGGCTCCCACTAGTCTGTTGGACAGGAGGTTGACCGGGGAGGTCAAACCCCTTTGATCTGGGTCCCCATTCTTGTTGTTAAAAGAATGTGTGCATTGATACAACAGGTCAGCAAGCGAAGCATCCATCGAGAAGAGGAAATTTTGAGAAAGCCAACACCTATCCGTGAGGGGACAATGTGGAGTGCTTCACCTGGAGGACCATGCTGAGGTGCTTGGGATAATGATGTAGGGTGCTTAGTGAGCAGCCCACAGCAAAAGATGTTTCATAACTGTATCTCAATGCTGGAGCTGGAACTCAGGGCTTAGATCAGAGTCACTGTGGCACAGAACCAGGCTGACAGCCTCTGAGGG